AAATTGAATATGTTTCCTATGTATAAAGTAAGAATACATAGACGATATGTTTAAAGCAAAGACTAGGATTTGAGAAAATTTTGTTGATTTTCACGTTATGAATCAAAAGTAAATTTGAAGAAAATATATACATAAAACTATTACTCAGGAATATTTGATTTGGTAATATTTATAACCCCAATAAAACTTATATCTGGCTCAATAATAGAAACTATTTGACCAAATTTTCTTGCCTGTGGCTATGACAGAATTCACTCATGCCATTTTATAACCCTATTACACCAAGGCTGCAACCTCAGAATCATTCTTAACATGCTGTAGATCATTATCAATTGAACTGATGTTAAACAGGGTGAAAAGCTTTTTGCTATGAATTTTCGTTGATTAATATGATTAATGAGTAGAACCAGGAAAAGAGAATTTGGTAGGGCTAAGGTTGAATGATGAAGGTATTCATTACCTGAGATTCAATGAGGTGAGGGTTAGGTAAAAAATAAAAATCACTAACAGCATTAATGCCTAAAAAGAATATTCTATCATTTTGAGCTTGTTTCTTAGGATTTTGGTCTGTAGAAGTAAGGGAAAGACATGAGGTAGATAGGACTTGTGATGAAAAGATGAATGATTTGCATTAGAGAGGTCCAGTTTTTAATTAAGAATAAGAAGGAAGAACACAAGTTGAAAGAAAGACGTGAACCAAAGAGAAGATCTACGGGTTTGGTTTTTCAAGGAAAGCTTTGGCTGGAGTAGAGAGAGAAAGGAGGAAGTTTTAAAGATTTAGGGAAGTAACTGCCCTCCATGTAAAGAATATTGAGAATGGCAGCTATACTATTTTATATGGATTTTAAGCCAATTAAATCATAATGCTATATGGCATTCTTTCCTTAAGAGACTGGTAGCAATTATTCTTAATTACTTCTTTGACTGGCAGACTTTGTTTTTCTAGATAGAAATATGCATATTATCTGAACTACATGAAACCTTAGCTACGTGCGGGTTATACTATGGGGTTGTTCTAACCCCAGTAGATTTTTAAATTTACTTACACATCATCAGAAATTCAAAAGTAAAAAAAATTAGAAGTAGGTGCTTTGGTTGGTTGGTTAGGTGGTTAACAATGTGCATGCCACTAAAAGATGCGTGTGGCAGTTGCATTGCAGGTACTATCTTTTCTACTCATAATGAGTTGTTATAAGAAACACTTGTGCAGAGAAGTCATTGAAATTCTTTGTATAATTTCTTATAAGTTATACAAATAATAAATGCTCTATTTTTATAAAATTAGAGGTAAAAGCACCTATAATCCTAATTCCAGAGATTAACTCAGGTTTTGGCATATTTCCTTCCAGGCATTTTTTTTCAAAGCACTTTCACATATTTCAGATCATTCATTACAAATATTTTAATGTCTTAAACATTTTCACTCATCTATTATATAGTTATTTTTCCATTCTATTAATATATGCAAATGTAATTTTAACTTAACTTTCGATCATGCCTTAGGTAAATATAGTACATTATAGTAATATATTCTCATGCTATATATTCTTTCCTTGTTAAGTAATTACACTTTCCAATTGAACTTTCCAAATTAGAAAGCAGACTTACCTACTGTAACAAAGAGACCCCAAAGTACAGTGGCTTAACTAAGATGTTTATTTCTCTTCCTCATGTAACAATCTAGGAGTAGCTCAACTGTATTGGGCTGGTAGGTGATTCTGCCATCCTTGGCATGGGGTGCTTACTTGTGGGCTAAAGATGTTCCGGCCATCTCCCAGCTTGGAAGAGGGGAGAAGAGAGTTAGGGGAGAACACATAATTATTTTAAGGGCAAGATTCAGAGTGGCACACAGCACTACTGCCCACATCACATTAGAACTTAGTTGGTCATGCTTAGGTCTAAGGAAAGCCGAGTTTTATGCTAAGTGCCCATGCATCCACATAAATTCTATTAGTGTGAAAGAAAGAAACAAGGATATTGGGAGACAACTAGCAATTAATTGTACTTTCAAATAGGATGTTATTGGAATCTACATAAATTCAGGAAATAAAAACCAAATAAAATCAATGTATGGTTATTTTGAATATCCTTTTACAATCAAATCACTACAATTCCTATAAAAATTTTCTAAAATGGATTCTATCTAATGACTTGGTTACTTACTTAAAACTGGTATTGATTTTTGCCTTAGTTAATTACAGGATTATTGTCTTTTACCCTAGATTGACTTCTCAATTTGAATCTAGTTTCCTAAAGTTAGACTGGAAAAAAAGAATGACTAATCTTAGCTACACACTGAAAATTTTATGAGCTATGAAGGCAATGGCAGTTCACTGACTTGTTAATTTAGAAAAATTGGAGGCAATCTACATTTACGAGTTCAAGTAATGTAATGAAAGGTCAGGAATAAGAGGTTCCAGATAGCCCAGTTCTTATGATTACCACTGTCCTCATGCTTGGTATTTCATTTCTGTTAACACAGCTACTGTTGCTTTTGGCCTATGGAAGCAGTCATATTGTTTGCTGCATCAGCTTTGACTTGTTAGTTGTTAGCAATAGCTATATCACTGTCCATAACCATGTTTCTTTGTATTTTAGGGCAAGAATTTTAAAGATATCAACTGACTAAATGGATTTAAGGGTGCCATGAATTGTAATGTGTTGTCTTAATATTTATTAAGTAACAATATATAAACCCCAAACAAAAGAGTGACATCTACTTTATATCTTCTTCAAAAAGTTTTTTTCTATTTATTTTTTGACCATTTACCACTAGAACATTAATTGTTGCTACATGTTGTCAGAACCTCATCAATATAGTCACTCTATTTTATGAATTTTAAATCAAGTGACAAATTTTATAAATGTTGCTGATTTTTGACGTTATAAAAATCTTGTATATTAATATTAAATTATTTAAACTTTACACTTAATAAATTACTTTTATTGAAAATAATAATGCATAAAAATGAGAATATCCAAGAAAATGGAATATCTAATTATTATATTTTTACTTATTTTTTCCTTTATTGTGCAAATATTTTGACAGATGTTATATGATAAAAAGAATTTTTTAAATATGAACAGAAAAATATAGAAGTTGAAAAAAGGAGAGAACAGAGCACAAACATGCAAGCTATAAGGTTCTACATACTTCCTAATGATTGAAATTAACATTTCTGTCTGAGCTTTCTGTTAGCTACAGTGAAAATAGAAATCATTTTTCTGATTGTCATTGTACAAAATATAGAAACATAGTCTTATCGGGGGCTTTAGACACTAAGATACAGTGGATGGACAGCAATCTTATTAATATTCTTTCAACATAGGCATTATCAGATTCCTTAAAATGATATCTAGTATTATTTTTCAATGATATTTAAGGTTGTGTCCCCAAAGCCTAGAACTAAACAAAAGAAGGTCTGTGAGCAGCCAAGATGATTTGGCCCAAGGATAACCCATTCTAATAGTCTAGTTTAATCCATAGGAACAGTCTAGATCATTTAGGCAAAATCTAAACATTCCAGAAAAAAAAGACTTTATATTCTTTAAATTATGATCCATGTACACTAATACTATAAGTCAGACTTATGATGTGTTGTACAACCAAGAGTTTGAGGTTTTATTTTGGTCATTGTACATATTTGGCATATCAAATAATTTCTCTAGGCATATTGTTCCTAAAAAGGCAGGGTCTTCCTGTTGCACAGAAGCTCTTCTGCATCCAGAACAAACTTGAGTATCTATCTACTAAACCAGCTCAGGTATAGTGGCAGGATTAAATGAGATTAACATTCTCGTTGTCTGTGAAAAATAGATTTCACAGGAAGACATAATATCCTCTAGTGTTGAGAGCCAAATGAGATTTTAAAAGCATTGTAAAGTGTTAATCCTTTTTCTGTCTGAAAATACCATAAAATTACTTCCATAAAACATTTAGTTTTGAAAAATTTTTACCTATGTCAAACACAACACAGTTTTAGAAGTCAAGTGATGATACCAATGTAGTAAACATTACTTTGATTTTGTTTTAAGCTTTTTTATTTCATGACTTTTTATCATGCTACTCCAATTTAAATCTTACAAAGAAATATATATTTACAAGGACCATATTGTAGTAACTGGCATGATTTCATAGAGTAAAATGATGTCAGCATTTAAAATACAGATATTGAAAAATGTCTTTGATAACCCATTCATCAAATATATTCTGAGAAACTACTACAGTAAACAAAACAGATAAAGTCCAATCTCACCATCTTATTGGAGTCATCCAAATTTTATTCTAGTGAAGACCAAATCAAACAACAAAACATGTGAAAAGAGATGTAAAAGTCACACAAACACAGACACGCACACTCACACACACACCCCACAGAGATACTGATAGACAAAAAAAAAAAAAAAAAAATTTCAAGTCAAGTAATTGGATGGAGAGTAACTAAACTTCACTGTTTAGATGAAGGAAAAGCCTCACAGAGCAGGAACCTGAAAGTATGAA